TTACAGATTTTCAGTAAGTAATAAATTTTTACCATTAAAAAATAATTACAATTTAAATTTTTTTACAATTTTAAACATTTTTTTAATTTTTACCGATCAAAATTTTTACATTTTTTATAACTTCATTTTATTGTTTTATTTTATTAGGTATTTATTCTTATTGATGGCCTTTAATACAATAAAGTCTTAAGAAGTTTTAGCCTTAAAAGTTTTTTTGAAATTAAATTATTTTCATAATTGCTATTTAATATTTTATTGATAACATTTCCAAATCAATTTGATTTGATATTCCGTGTTCCGTAAGTGCCATGCTAGTCTTTACAGTGTGACATATTTATTCATGCAGTGTTCTATGGTTGGAATAAATACTTTGGTGAAGATTCCTTTTATCACCTCCCTCCACGCATTTTCCCAGGTCGTTAGTAACTTCCGATTAGTTCATTTACGCGGTTATTGGTACCCGCGAGAAGATGATTGCTAAGATTTAATCAGATGCGGCATCTTTGCCATCCTATCTGCCATTTCGCTTCCATCGTTTCCAGCATATGTTTTAACTCAGAGTAATCCGACCCATCTCAATTCTCCCGCAGTTTCCTAAGCGTTGCACGAATTTTCTCCACGGCATTATTATGATTTGGGTGGTCCGTGAGAATGTCCAATGATAACGCACTGTCTGAGAATATCATAGCAGTGTTCATAGCTGAAATCAGAAGGTCTTCTGAGGGAAATTATAAATGTTGGGGTGAGTGTGGAGTTCAATCCTTTTTAAAAAAGATGGTTCCTATTCACATTAAGTTGTTTCGCAACAATCCGGATTTCGAGCCCTTTAGCTCATAGTCAGGTTGAAGGGTTTCCACAAACACGTCTCTCGACATGAATTGCAGAAATGAACCCGCTGAAACCCCCGCCAATGCGACGTTCCAATGAGTAGCTGAGTTTTTAATGGCGCTCAATTTGAACGTGCGAAAAGCGGGAATTATAACACAAATAACAATTGTAATAGTAAATACTTTAAGAAATTAATTGTAAATTAGTGATTAAAGATAAAAAAAAATAAATAAACAAAAATAAAAAATTAAATAATTCGAATAATACCTTAATATTATTAAACTATTATAAAACATAATAACAATTAGAATAATTAGTTTTATTATTTGGACGTTTAATATTATTTATATACATATTTAAAATGGGAGGTAGATCAAAATCTGTTATATTATTAATGCATTTATCACCATGTTCAATTTTACATTTTTTAATTTCAAATTTCTCACACCAATCTAGTTCTCTCCCTTTGTTGAAACTTGATTGGTTTGAGAAATTTGAAATTAAAAAATGTAAAATTGAACATGGTGATAAATGCATTAATAATATAACAGATGTTGATCTTCCTCCCATTTTAAATATGTATATAAATAATATTAAACGTCCAAATAATTAAACTAATTATTCTAATTGTTATTATGTTTTATAATAATTTAATAATATTAAGGTATTATTCTATTTATTTTATTTTATTTTTATTTTTTATCTTTAATCACTAATTAACAATTAATTTTTTAAAGTATTTACTATTACAATTGTTATTTGTGTTATAATTCCCGCTTTTCGCACGTTCAAATTGAGCGCCATTAAAAACCCAGCTCCTCATTGGAACGTCGTGTTGGCGGGGGTATCAGCGGGTTCACTTCTGCAATTCATGTCGAGAGACGTGTTTGTGGAAACCCTTCAACCTGACGATGCGCTAAAGGGCTCGAAATCCGGATTGTTGCGAAACAACTTAATGTGAGTAGGAACCATCTTTTTTAAAAAGGGTCTTCTGAGGTCTTCTTTCTAATAACCATGTCGCATGCATCAACACCAGAATTTCTGCCCGTTTGGTTGAAGACCACGCTGCCTAACGGACTTTAACGTGCACATGGCATTTCTGTTTGCGTGATATATATGAGGTTCACCTATCTTCTACCGTCCGTAAAAGTACTGTTCGTTGGGAACTTCATCTGGTTTCACAGACTATTTTCAAACTCGACTGGTCGCGCCCCTTCTGCTGGTGGTAAAGGATTGTCAATTACATATTTCGGCCAAAGACCGGTGTATTCTTGTTTCTGAGTTTCGTAAATCTCGATTCTTTCTTTCATTTAATATCGATGGGAATTATATTTGCAAGTATCACGGTTGCTTGATATGAAACCGTTCTGTACCCTCGAATAATTCTCAGATCAATTTTTCTCTGATACATCGTAATTGTTCAACATTATATTTGTTCTCTACTGCGGATCCCATGCAGGTGCAGCATACGTTAATAACGGAAGGATTTCTCCTTCATAAATCACTTCAAGGGCACCCTGTCCGAGTCCCCAGTACACCTTCGCAGATCGTGAAATTATGTTTATTAGTTGCCTTGCTTTTTCAAATAACATTTCTACATGTAATTTCCAGGATAATTTTGTGTCCAGCCGCACACCCAAGAGCTTCAGCCTGTGAAAACAGCTCACGCCTCAACTTGTGAGACTTATTGTTGAATCGACGAGGAAATAAACAAAAAATATGTTTGGTCGTAATGATAAACGCACATAACAACACATAGACGAACCACTGAATATGCCGAAACGCTGACTCGCGTCTAAGAGAACAAAGCAGGGTGTGCGATATTGCGAGGTGTCGAACTTGTAGTTTGGTCATTATTGAGTAATGCGACTGACAAAATAAAATATAGATCAGCAAACGATAATTGAGAAACGCCGAACCTTCTCAGATCAAAACGGCAAGGACAGGCGGACCAATTGCAAATATAATTCGGGCCAATCTGTTAAAAAATTAAAGAATCAGTAAGTGTTTTAGTTTGGCTGTAAACGTTTATGACCAACCCAAGTTTTATCCCATGGGTCAATGTTGCTAAAATATAGTCATATCTCTTTTCATTGCACACTTATTTTTCTAATTAATAAACTCCATGTCATATCTGTTTTGTATAGTGTTCATTGGTATGCTTGGGATTAGAAATCGTTCTGTTCAACCTTTCATCTATCTTTGATTTTAATGTTTTTTAAAATTTAAAAAATGCTACTTAATGTGGTGTTTATCGAGCATAATTTAATATGGCTGGTTGAACGATAATGATAGACACAAACAACGACCATAGGAAGACCACCGGCTGCTTAAGACCATGCGCGCCAGGAAACACGAGCGATCTTCTGCTTTAGAGAGTTCGTCACATTCTCTAGGCTGCACCATTATTTTGTGCTGGGAACCCCCCTTGTAACCCAGGGTTTGTATGGGTTTGCTAGAGTCCCCTAGGAGCACCCGCTCTACAGTCCCAGGACTCACACATCCCACCTGCTCGCTCTACGTTACCACGTTAAAACTCAACGAGGATAATCTACCCTTCCTCTGCGGTATCTCATTGAAATCCTCCAAAAGGCGCACTCCTCGCCATGCTGAAGCTACGTCAGTCCCCAAAGCCTCACGAGCTCACTTTTTCAGGATACGCCCGCTCCGCTGCAAGGACCAAAAACCCAAACTCGGTTCAATCTCCGCCCTCTAAGCCTCTTGCCGTTTCTTCGAACAAGAATCCTACTAAGGGCACCTCGTAGTTGCTAAGAACGACACTAGGCACACCCCCCTTCTGCGGCCTCGTGCAGTAACACAATCCTCCAAGGGTGCCCACATTGTGCCGCCTCGGCCCGGTTGTTTCCAGGGCTTCACGAGCTCCGCCTTTCGGGTCACACTCACTCCACCCCAGAAGCTAACTGTCCCTATCGCATATTCCGAGTTAAATCCGAGAGAATGATCCACCCCTCTTCTGCGGCCAGGTGAGTTCCTCCAAGAGGCAACCATCCCTCAGAGCTGTGGGCGGACGACCGTCCCAGGTTTCACAAGCTCAACTTTTCAGGATTCACCCGATCCACCCAGATATGACCTAAGAGACCGAAACAGTGGCGCCAGGGTAGGCAACAGGCTCCTGGAACGGGATAGGTTATAAGTTGCAATTCACCGTTCCCATCCACTACCCCATACGCATTCGAGGGACTCCTTAGGCGTAGTCTCAGCTTCCTCGACGGTATACGCTTCGGTGGTCCGATCCTTCGTATCCCGCGAGGCCTGGGGTCACAACGAAGGTCATACGCACAGGCGTAGGTGGATGGCCACCTGCAAGTCTAATAACGGTCATTCTGTTAGAAAAGATGAAAGATCGAATGATTTTTAGATCACCATGAAATATTGATGTAATCTAGGAATATCTCATTCCCCGCAAACTAAAATGATTTTCCCTCAGCAATACAGGAGAGTTTTGCTAGTTTCTAAAAAACTCATTTTTTTTTGTATGCTTGCGATTAGAAATATTTAGTTCATCCTTCAACCCTTATCTTTTTCGAAAAATTTTGACAATGCACGATTTAAGTTGGCGTTTATCAAACGTAACTTAATATTAGTTGAGCGAAAAATTTGCTATGACCAACCAGCAAGACAAGGCGAATCAAAATATGACAAGCAGTTGTCAGCTAATTAATTTCCTCAGTTCTAATCAGGCATTTTTATTTTATTTGTTCACTACTACGCACGTCGTTTTGTTGTAAGAATACTCTTTGAAAAGTAAAAAATGATTAGTTTTTTGTTAGGGTTTCGAAAATTGCACAATGATTTGTTTTTATAGATTATTTTAACCATCAGATCAATTAGTAAAGTGTAAAAAAAATCATTGCCTTCCCCCAAAATTTTAATTATGATTTCCATGTTAACGCAGGTTGTAAGTGAACGGCAAGGGTTTGGAGACAAAGACGAATATGGGAATTTCAAGATCTGAAAATAAAGAGTCGAAAGGGCCACTTCGTCAGAACGGGTGATTTGTCCGTTAATTCGTAAAGCTTAAATTTATTCATAGTTTGTTTACAAGGAGATTGTTGTGGCAGGGGGATTGGCTATCCATGGCTCCGCCTTCCCGTCTTGCCACCAGCTTCCATTGGGGGCTTAACTTATCCAGGAACCCTTTCCTGAAACGAGTCAGTCTGTGATTGTGCCATGGGCTCTCATCTTCCTAGTGAAGAACCCTCGGACAACACGGCCGCTTCAAAGGGCCTGAAATTTGGAGTTGACAGGATTTTGGCACGTGACCACAATCCGACCACCGTCCCTTATCTACCTCGTAAGTGTCACTTAAATTAGTTATGTCGAATCAGTTTTGTATTATGAAAGTAATTGCATTTTTGAGTGTTTTTTATAAGATCAAAATACGGATTTTCTTTGATAAATTCTCCGTCCAGTTCGAACAAGTGAATTGAAAATTCCCTGTTTTCAAAATAATTTAAAATATAGACAAAAATCACAATTTTTAATCCATATTTTCATTGATATCAAACATCAAAACGAATAATTTAATTTCCATGAATATTTATGGCACTATTATTACTTACTTGGACCTTAATATATGACTAGTTCTAGTTCTTAACTGTTATTTTTTTTATTTTTCGGTACATTTTTCTCCGTTTCATCATATTGACACGATTTTTTTTTTTTTAATTTTTGTCGAGTAACAATTGGCAAACAACCGAAGCGAGCAATCTTTTAAAAACAATCAAGAAGAAGAAATTTTTTTTGTATATAAAAGTTGTAAAATTTTGTTACAACTGTTGTGATCATAAATTAACAATTCACTTTTTAAATTCACAATTTTAAACCCTTAACTACGAATTATGAACGAAGAAAAAAAAGATTGATTGTAATCAACCAAATACATTTTGAGAAAATTGTACCAAAAAATGGTAAATTTTTATGCCTATTATTGAGATAATTAAATGGCATTGAAAAATTTCTGAAATAAATTAAAATATTAAATTTTTAAACTTAAACAGATGGAACCGACTCTTCCGAAAAAGAAGTACGAATCAAAATTAAAATGCACCGTGCAGACGTGTACAAATAAATAAAATAATAATAACAATAATTTAAAAAAACCATTTAATCAGATAGTGATGAGGGCTTCTAAAATGTCTGAAAAGAAAACAACTAAGCCAGATAAGAAAATAATAAAAAAACAATTCAAAACTTTTATAAAATCGAAAATTGAATTGGTTTTGCTAAGAGAGTCAAAAAATACTGCTTATCTTTATTACCTTTTTTACGTCTTCAAGGCTTTTAAAAATTGTATGTTTAATAGTACGGTACTTATCTATATATATTGAAAACAAATTCTTAGTTATTCGGAAATCGTGAGATGCGGTCTGTTGTGAACAGGTTTCAGAAAAACATTTTCTTTATCGTGCCAACGTTTCGATCTTTATTGAGATCATCTTCAGGGCCTGGAATTTACAAACATTGTTTAAATTTAGCAAATACATGTATGTTGTGGAAAAAAGTGAAATTATACAATGCAAAAAAATATTTTTGCGTACGCAGAAAACCAACATTTTGAGTGAGAAGAAATACTTTGATTGAATATAAATTTTCTTTTATTTTTTGAATTATATAAATTCACTTTTTTCCACATCCTATATGTATTTGTTAAATTTAAACAATGTTTGTTAAACCCAGGCTCTGAAGATGATCTCAAAAAAGATCGAAACGTTGGCATGATAGAGAAAAATTTTTTCTGAAACCTTCATCACACCAGACCGCATCTCATGGTTTCTGAATAATCATCGACTAACGGTCATTAATCACCACACAAATCCTTAGGTTTGTTTGGAATTTTAATTGTTATTGTAGTTAGTATAAATAATATTACTTAATTAATAATTATTATTAAAAGTCAGATTGACTAAAATTATAAGATTATTGTTAAAAATAATATAGTAATAATTTAAATTTAACCATATAGAATGGCTCGCTAGAAGAGTAGACAGTCCATACTGCACAAATGCTCAAAATTTTTTGTTAGCCTTAAGCCTATTCATTCTAGATATTAGGGTAAAGGGCGTGTTTCTTCCCTTCTTTATTTTTGGGGCCCTTTATCTTGTTTGGATGGTTTTTCAGCTATAAAAAATTCTAAATGTGACAGAATAAAAAAGGGAAAAACACGTAATAGTGCTGAATATGACCAAAGACGACAAAATAAACATAATAAGACAAAATAAGGTTAGATACTTAAACGGAAATTTCATTTTGGAATATAAAGAAATTATACAAAGGTTGGCGTTAAAATGTCAAACTTAAAAATGCTTTATTCAGAAATTGTGAAATGCCGTCTGTGTGATGTAGGTATCAGAAAAACCTTTTTTTTATCGTGCCAACGTTTCGATCTTTATTGAGATCATCTTCAGGGCTCAAAGTGTTTGTCTTCTGTGTAATTGTGCCATTCTTGCGTGTCGTGTTGAGAGCGCCCGTGTGAGTTTTGTATAATAACTAAACATTATCACAAATCCATTTTTATGTAATAACTGTGAATTACAGGCACAAAGAGGGCAGAAAATCAGATTTTTTTCTCGGCACCTAGGGTCGTGAAATCAAGAACGTATCCGAGCATGTCTCTAATATTTTTCGACTTGGTATCAGCAAGAACAGCATGATTAGGAATCAGTGATCCATGTTTGTAGTCTCACCTTCTAAGTTCAAAAAGCTTTTTTAATGGTTGAAAAGTCATTACAATACTGCCGCCACAGTTAAAAATATCTTCCACGTGTGCTAAGAAGTAAGGTTACTCGAGTGGTTTGCTTAATTTTACCGTCTTTTATCTCAAGATTTGTTGTCAAATAAAAAATTCAAATAATCAAATAACAATTGGACATTTTGACTTAGTGAAATCACTTTAGTAAATATAATATAGCACATTGTGAAAGGTGTAATTATCAGAAGATCATCGAGAAGTCTTACTCCTTGTCGAATATTTAAAGAACCACTTTTTAAAAAATTCTAATATATTTGGCAAGCTAGCGTATTTGTTTATTAATTTATTATTCCTAAAATTTATAACATATTGTTATATTTGATGTAAAAGTTAAATATGTTTCCAAGAATAATGGAATTTTAATATATATATATTTTTTTTTTATGTATATCCTGAAATGCGCTACTTTCACTGTATTTTAGTGTAATCTGTTTGACGTTTCACTTCCAACATGAAAAAAACGTGTCTTGGCGTAGAAATGCCAATATTTTCATTTCTTCAAACATGTTTGGCTGAGTAATGATGCATGTCAGCCCTCTTTTTGTAAACCGTCTATCGAAAGAAAAACGTTGAACTGAGTGGTTTGTTTAGTCTTGTTCATATATATTTTTTTTAAATGTAGTATGTGTACATATTATTTTAAATAGTTTTATTTTAACGTGCTTCAGCAGTGCGAAGGGGGTTATGTGGCGACCCGCCAAACTTGTATTTTGTTTCCAGCCACCAGGGGCAGGGAGGTAATTAATAAAACAGGTTTCCTCAAGGTGTTACACATTTTTTTTCTTTTCTGATCTTACTTTATGCATTGGCCAAAGAAACACAATTATTGTTCTAAAAACACTAAGCATAAACATGGCAGTATACAAACTGAAATTATTGCTAGCTGAAGTCTAATGTAAATTATTGGAAACATTAATACTTCGACAGTATTGAACAGAGAAAATGGAGAATAGATTTGATTTTAGCGCTGAAAGTCGTCGTAATATGAACACGCATAGAAAGCTAGGCTTGTTACATGTTGAGAAAAACAGTAATAAAAAACCAAAATATTGCATTGTTTAATCTTCGTAAGTAAAACGAAGTGGCACTGAAAAAGAACATGTAGGCGCGAAGTCCTCAAATGCAACCAATGTATAACTTCCAAATAGGGCTGTGATTTATATGCAATGAAAACAGACAAATGCAAAAATATATATGTAAATATATTTGGTAAAAAATGCAATTTAAAACTGAAAATATACGAAAACTACTATGAGAAAAAATAAGGAAACCTCAAATTAAAGCACATTATTGAGCAGTATTGAAAAGAGAAACGGTGGTAAGAGAATCATCACATTTGCTAATATTAAAAAAGAAAAACGCATGAAAAAAAGTTTTTTTTTTTGTTTTGTTTTTTAATTTGTAGTACATTACAACTACCTTAAAGAAGGTAATAAGTAACAGTGAGCAAGGTAGTTTAAAACAAGACAAAATTAAAGTTAAATTTTTCAAAAGTTAAGAAAAGTTAAATTTAAAAAATCCCTCGTCTCATCCATCGAGACCCAGATCGGTCCATTTTCGATGAAGTCTGATTTTATGGAGTGTTTCATTGTATATTAGATCCAGGTGAGATTTCCTGAGGGTACTTTCGTGTGGAATAGTTTTCCCTGTGTATTTCTCCAAATAACCCTTGAATTCAGGGTGGCTTAGTTTATGGACGGGTATGTCAGCTCTAACTAAAGCACGGCATAAATCGGTATCGAAACCGGACTTTCCAGACTCAGCACTTGTGGCAGCTTGTGCCACAAAGGTTTGTTGAAACTTAATTAGGAATTGCCGGGCGATGAACGATTGGCCAGTATGGATAAATTGGATTATTTTCATTAGTATTTTTATTTATATTGTAGAAAAATTGAAGCTAAGTGGTAGAGCATTGTGAGCATTGCTAGGTGTGTAAATTGATATTTAAAGTTAGGATAGAATTCAACCATCATCACCACCTACGCGGACGATACGGAAATTTTGTTCTCTAGATGTAGATGTAGATGTAGATGTAATTTCAGGGTATAGTATACTGCGCCCTTTAAAAGCTATTGTATCCCCCGTGCTCTGCCTAAAGCACATCGGTGAGTCCTATTTCATCAAGACACTTGATTAATAGGCCCGGTTTCAGTGGTTGAAGCTTTTCTATGGTCACATTGTACATTCCAAAACACTTCCTCCTGCGGGCTAATGTAGCTCCGCAGTTTGTTAGTAAGTGTGTTGGTGTCTCTTCTGCTTCCTTGCCGAATCTACATGTGCCATCTTGGATTGTTCCAATTTTCTCACCCACCCTGGGAGTCATGGCCCACTCTATGTGGAACCACGGCGACGACGGGTGGTATAGTGCGGTTGAGACTCGAGACCCCGAAACTGCTCACCTCGTGTTCTCTTCCGCGGCCCTGTTTCTCAATCCGAATTCCTTTATTCTATACTGTGACCCCTCCTAGCCCTTGGTTACAAGGGGGGTATCCAGGCACAAAATAATGGTGTAGCCTTGAGGGCGTGGCACCTCTCTAAAGCAC